AAGAATTGAGATGAAAGGGAATTAGTATTTGGAAGAGTTGGGATGAATGGGTTGGAAGAGTTGGAAACCACACGATAACTTTTGGATGAGTGTTCATGTTAGATTGATCCATGGGTTGTTTTTCCAAGGGAGCTTATGGGATAGGATGTGAACTGATGAAGAAGATGGAATGGGTGGTGAGAATCAGGAAGATGAGGAGATGAAGATATTGCATACACAAACCACAAATACAAAGTATACTATATTTTTTCTGGGGCAGCTGGGATTGATTAATAGGGGGAGGCGGTCCTACTATTGGGGGGGTAGGGCCTCTGTGAGTGGCACCCTTTGTGAGCTTGAAACAGTTAAGATGTTGATAGAGTTTTAATAAGGGAAAATGAAGGACTTTTGCTAGAGAGTTTTTGGGGTTTGGGGGGATGGTTGGTAGCATGAGACATGAGGAGAAGCCATCAAAAGGATTGGTGAGCAGGATGAGAATCAGGAAGATGAGGAAATGAAGAATTTGAATACTAGCAAAAAAAAGAAAATCAATAAGAAAAACACATATAAAAGATATTGGAGACTAGCTAAAATAATGTAATATAAAAGAAGTATACATAAATTGTAAACAATATTTCCTATTTTTTGGGGCAGCTGGGATTGATTAATAGGGGGAGGTTTCTGCACAGGAAAAACATTATTAGGGTGATGCCAAGGTGGAAATCTAGGTGTTCAATTAGTTTAGTATTGGAGGGGTCGAGCTGGGATTGATTCATAGGGGGTGGTTACTTAATCCTATGTCAACATTAGCCACACACACACAACAGCTTGCAGTCGCTGGATGCACCCCCCTGTTGTGAATAAGGGGCCTGCATGCATGGGATTGCTTGGGCTCTCAAGCTTTGCACATTCAGTTGTGATAGCGAGTCGGTATGTCCAATGTAAACTCACTTTGAACGTCGGAGCCTGAAGCAATGTACTGTATCAGCACCGGCAGTCACTGGCACATGAGGGGCAACCCCTATAGAAGACCCATCAAAGAGTATGAGTGGTGATAAGCACAAGGCACCTGGATGCCAAACGCTCCAACTCATTGTAAGGATCAGTCTCTACATCCTCCAAATCATTCAATTGACGACATATGAAAAACCTTCAAGCAAAAACAGTGACGAAACACAAGGTCTAGGATAATGCGGAGCGTTCAACTGTACAGCATACATGTATCTTCTCTATTCGTCTCAACAGTGCTTTAGTTACAGTATGCAAAAGCAAAGAAGATTGCTTGGGCAGGACTATCTCCGGTCCGCGCCTCATCACTATGCTGACCAATGGATGGACCACCAGAATCAGTACGACCAGGCGACCAAGAGAGCTTTGGCCTCATGTATCAGGACCATGCACAAGCGGTGTGCCAACCAACAGCAGCGACATCCTGGGAGGAAGAAGAACTTCAACGATACAGTCAAACAAATCCTCAATTAAGTATAAGAATATACATGTATATACTATACTGTATATGGCTGTTGTGCTTTCCAACTGGCCGATTGTAAACGGCATGTTGCTACGTAGTACATTGTGGTCCATACGGTCATGAATGCTGTCAATTGTAAATCACTCCCGGCGTCGGACTCTGTCGGCTCTCAGCTTTTGGCCCGATCGCCGGCACTTTAAGATGTCCCCCGTGGGAGAGCTCAACCTCCTGCAGGCCACGGACGTGCCAAATGTGCCAATGTCCAACTCCAATGGTGTGACAAACAGTGTTCCAGCAGTTCTCGTTGCTGATTTTCCCATCGAAACAGATTCTATACATAAGATTCAAGATTCTTGGCTACAACAATTGCATATATAGACATAGATGCTGCTGTCTGCGCTGGTGTTGAGGGCACGTCATAGTTGGAGTCCGCATGGAGTTGAACAGCATTTCTCCGGACAACTGACCTCAACTGCCCCAATGAACAGTGGCAATTGTGGTGAGGTGGCTTCTCCTCGAAGCATTTTCGGCTTTGAAAGTGTTCATCGTCCATGATCTCCTGAGGTGGCCAACAAAAAGCCCGTGCTGCTGTTATGAGCAATCTGGTTTCGAAACTGCCTTAAACACGTGGGATTGATGTTGAAAGTGTGAAGGGCATGTGGAACGCTTGCTGTCGGAAGTTGTGCAGTTCGCCGCCTTTGACTTTTTCACTACCTCAAGGTATCCGGATGACCGCATTCGCGACAGGCAAAAGTGCCTCACTGCCTGCGTTTTGCTTTTGCCGGGCCGACTTGGTTTTTCCTTTTTCGGTTGCGGAAAGACTCTTGTTCTTAGAGGGACTGGCCCCCCAATCACCCACATTGGTAGCGGAGCTAGAGGGCGGAACTAGGTTTTCTAGGCTGCCTGCTGCACCCACATCCAATGGCCGTCGCCATGCCGAGCGATGGCCTCGAGAGCGCTGAGCCAGCGCTGCCTGATGCGGCCGCCGTGCCGCTGCCTGACCAGGATCCTTGGCAGGAGCCTGGACAAGATCCATGGCACCCGGCTGGAGGAGGAGAGATGGGCTCTCAATCCCCCATGCCTGGTACGGGTTCGAGCACGCCAGTGGGACCAACGGAACGGGACAACCTGTGACATTGGGCCCCTCAGCTGCCTCAGTACAGCCTGGTCAAACTCATGCCACATCAGAGGCACCTATGACAATCCCAGGTGGGCCTCCAGGATTGTTGCAGGCCTCTTCAACGGCAGCCCCAATGACCATGGCACCAACGACAGCACCACAGGGTATGATATCACCCATGGGACCGTGCTCATGCCAGGGATCAGGATGGATGATGCCTCAAGGAATGGTAGCACCACATACTACCCCGTTTGGAGCATGTCTTGGAGTACCACCCAATGGGTTCACGGCACACCACATGCCTCCAACACCGTGTATGGGCTATCCCACTATGCCTTGGTCAACATTCCCTTGGGCATGGCCTCCCCATCCAATGCCCCCGGCACCAGTATCCAGCCCCCTGACAGCACAGACAGCACAACAGCCGATCCAGGGACCACCAGCCACGTCAGGGACTGGTAGCTGGTCAAGACCCGCTTCAGTGCAGGGACCTCAAACCAAGCAGAGTGCTCCAGAGACACCAGAAGACGACGATCTGGACGACAGCTCCTCGGCACAAACTTCAGAAATCCGATCCATGCTGCGACAACGAATGAAGAAGGAAGGGGACGGCTATCAGAGGCCGAAGAGTTCCCTTGGATCGGTTCGCATCGAAGAGTACTGGGGAGAACGCTCCAGGTATGTGAAGTGGAAGCGCACCATCCAGGCACAGCAGTGTTTGTATGGCCTGGAGTCTCAGGAGTTGGCAATGCTGATCTACCTCAGCACACGTCGAGAGGCCCGAGACGTTGTGGAACAGCATCCAGTGACCTCATACACTGGAGCTGGGAAGCGTTCGGAGAGTCTGAGGCTGAGCTCTTTGAACGAGCCGACAAGGAGCTTGAGAAGTACCGCCGGGCACCAGGAGAAAGCATTGCACATTACCTTGCAGAGATGAGGAGGCCCAGAGCTCAGTACACTCGAGTTGATCCTGACACCAAGCTATCTGATCGTGCTTGGGCCCAGAAGCTGCTCCACAAGGCTTCGTTGAGCCGGAAGGATCGGTATGACGTGTACTACAGTGCCGGAGCCACCTATGACCCGATCGCCATCGAGAAGGCTCTCCGTGTTCGCTGTCAGAAGACTCATGAAGATGAGAGGAGAACACCTTCCAGAACACCACACCGTGAGAGAGGTGAGAGAGAGCGAGAAGATGATGGCAAGGTGAGCGTCTTCAAGAAGAAGAAGATCTTCATCAAGAAGAGAGTCCATGGTGCTCATGTAGCTGAAGGCTTGGAAGATGAAGATGAGGAGGAAAGTCCAGCCGCCATGGAGCAGGAGCCTCACGAAGAAGAAGAAGTCGGAGACCAACCTCCGGACGATGAAGAGGCGGCGGAAGATGATGAAGACAACAGGACAAGTGATGGTGAGATGGAGGAAGGAGAGCTGAAAGAAGCATTTGCCGCCGGTTGGAAGGCAAAGCAAAAGGTAGCAGATTTCAAGAAGCAAAGAGGATGGAAAGCTACCGACAAGAAGGGCGAGAAAGGAGCCTCCAACACGACCATCAACGCCAGGAAGAAAGCAACGACATGCAGTAGTTGCGGATGTCAGGGACATTGGCGGGGGGACCCTGAGTGTGTCAATGTCATCAATGGACGAGACCAGCCACACCACAAGAAGACATCAATGGTCCACTTCACCTACATGGTTTCCAGTGGAGATGCACTTCAATGCCCTCAGTGTCACTGGCCGGTGCAGGAAACTTCCAAGTTCTGTGGAGAGTGCCGCTGTGCTCTTCATCCTGACCAGCGGATGTCAGGACAGTCCAAGCGAAGCGGAGAAGATGATGAGTGGGAGGAGGTGAAGGATGATCGCTTCGCGTTCTCAGTGAAGAAGACATCCATTGTTGGAGCAAAGCCCAAAGCAAAGGCAAAGAGCCTGGTACCTCCTGGTCAAGTTCGTCTTCAAGGTCAAGAGCTGATGACTGCCTTGCCTTCCATGTCAAAGGAAGAGAAGAAAGCCCTTCAGCAAGCGTTGCAAGAAGAGGAGGACAAGGAGGTGGAAAAGAAGAGAGAAATGTATAAAGAGCTGATGAGGGAGTGGAGCTACTACGATGACTATGAACCCACTGGCCGGGAACTTTTCCCGGAAGATCCCAGTCGGTATGACGCCTGGAAGGCAAGAAGGGGCTATGGAGGAATCGACGAGAAGGACCCCATGGCATCAGCTTCAAGCAGTCAGACGCCAATTCCACCGGCGCCAAGAGCTGATAAGCCTAAGCCCGTGAAGGAGAAGGAGCTCCAGCAGTTCAGAAAGACCCTGTACGATCAGCAAGTGCGACATGGCCGTTGCATGCCCTCGTCGGCCGCCAGCTGTCCGACAGAAGCTCAAAGTCTCTGTCCACATCGATTCGAGGACTTGAAGTGGTCAGCCAATGCAGAAGGACACTTCGCCCGGTGCAAGACCTGTGACCTCAAACACGTGGTGTACTACTCCAATCGACATGGAGTGATGATGGTGAGTCAGCACCAACCGCCACCCGGCGTGAGTCAAGAAGCACGGGTGTGGATCAGAGAAGATGAAAGAGCTGCTCACTTTCGATGGGTCAACAATGGAGGACCAATGAAGCATCAGGTCACATGCCGTGTCACGAAGGATGTGCACGGAAACAACCTTGAGGTGAAGTTCCTGAAGGGAGATGAGGAGATGAATGACCTGACTAAGCCCATCGATGGACCACCACGTGCGCTGCTCACTGAGTTCTGGTATGAGCTTGAGAAAAAGGAGGCCAAGCAATCACCTATGCCGTCCAATGTCCACTACATTCAGGCACAGAAGCCAGGACTGGCCATAGCAGACTCAGGATGTTGGAACTCGGTGGGAGGTGAAGTATGGCACCAACACTTCCAAGATGCTTTGAGGGCACACGGCATCCCTTGGGACGAAGTCGCGGAGAAGGAGACCTACAAGTTCGGGGCAGGAGCACCCATTGTGAGCCAAACAGCTTGTCTCTACCCCGTCCTGATCCATGGACAGGTGGATGTCGTGAGGATGTCAGTGGTTGGAAAAGGTGGCGCTGCTTGTCCGGGCCTGATTGGTCCCGGTGAATTGAGTCGGTGGGATGCCATCTTTCACTTCAAGGACAAGCAAATGGAGTTGAATGGCCTCAAACGTGAGATGCGATTGACGGCCACAAGGCACCCCGGCATCGAGCTGATGGAGTTTCATCCTGAAGAGATAGCAAAGGTCAAGCAGTTCTGGCAGTCAGAAGAAGCAGAGAAGAAGAGAAAGATTTTGAAGAACACTCCCCACTCGTATGCATTCCTGACAACTGAAGGTGAAGAAGATGAGACCGAGGATGATGACACGGAGGAGGAAGAAGTGCCAGAGCGAGATGACCGTCAAAGGAAGGTGGAAGAATGGACCCAGCAGCTTGAAGATTTGGGCGTGATGATGGTGCCCACAGTGCCGGCCTTGGAGGAGGAAGAAGAGGCAAGCAGTTCAGCAATGTCAGATGGTCACGACTCCTCAACGTCACATGAAAAGGGGGTCGATATGGTGACAGATGACTCTGACAGTGAAGAAGAAGGGACGAAGCAAGCCCTAATTGCTGAATCAAAGATGATGCACAAAGGCCTCCGTCACCGTTTGGACCATGTCTTGAGTGAAATCAAGAAGACCTTCCAAGGAGAGACAAAGGCACAAAGAAAGAAAGAAGCAGAAGGAGAAGATGGAGGCAGAAAGGAAGAAGTGAGGAGAGGAACAAAGAGGAAGTGCCCATGGACCATCGTGGAGATCTTTTCGTGGACATGTGCAATTTCGATGATCGCTTCTATGAGGGGCTGGAATGCCTCAGAGCCGATTTCGCTTCCACACTGGGACTTGCTCAAAGGCCAAGACCGCGCTGCAGCCCTTCAGTATCTCGACCAGCTTGACCCTGATGTGATGGTCATCGCTTGGCCTTGCACAGTATGGAGTCCGCTTCAAGTGTTGGCAACAAGTCACCGTGGCAAAGAGAACGACTTGAAGAGAGGAGAGAAGAGCAGGTCTGCTGTTGGGAGAGAATCCCAAGCCCTCTCTTGCATGGCAAGAACCTCTCATAGTGGAAGCCTTTGATGGAATGGGTTCGATCACCACGGACATGTGCCAGTATGGCCTCCGCATCCCAGAAGGAGGTCCATTTTTGAGAAAGAGAACTCGTTTGCAGGGCACTCCGGAGCTGCTGCAGCCTTTAGCAAAACTATGTCCTGGGACCCATGAACACACCCCTGTCTTGGGTGGCATGAGACATCAGGGCAAGTGGATGAATGTTTCGGATTTTGCCGGAGGCTACACCAGTCGATTCGCTCAAGCCGTGGTGAAGCAAGCAGAGAAGGTCTTGGAAGAGAAAGGAAGAAGGCCAGAAGCCCTCCTGACACTCCCTGCATTCCCAGAAGAAGATCTAGATGAAGAAACAGAGAGGACAGAGGTGAAAGGCTTCAAGGAAGAACAACCACAGAGCTGGCGAATCCAACAGCTCCACAACAGGTTGGGACATCCAACCAACTCCACACTGAGCAAAATGCTTTCTTTGGCAGGCGCTTCCAAGGAGATTGTGAACAGAGCTCAAGATTTTCAGTGCCCAACGTGCCAGGAGACACAACCTCCTGGACGTTACTTGAAGGCCAGTGCTGAGATGCGCACCACTATCTTCGGCAAAGAACTGCACTGTGATCTAAAGTACTTGCATGACCACAAGAATGCATTGTATGTGGCCTTATCGATGGTAGACAGTGCTACTTCCTTTCATCAGGCAGTCCTCCTGAGAAATCGCTCAGCAGAACATGTGGCCCGCAAGTGTTTGAGACACTGGTTCGCTCTGTTCGGAACTCCACAAACCATCGTACTGGACCAAGGAGGAGAATTCGATGGCTACTTCACTGGCTTTCTAGAGCAACATGGAGTACACAGAAGGTGAGTGGAAGCAAGTCAGCATGGCAACACGGGTTTGCCGAGCGTCACGGGGCGTTGCTGGGAACAATGTTCACATCTCTGGCCTGGCAGTATAAGGTTGAAGGGAGAAGCCAAGTGAAGGATGCTTTGTGTGCTGCCGTGCAAGCAAAGAACTCAACTCTCACGAAAGGTGGGTACACACCTTTCCAACTTGCTTTTGGGCGACGGCCCATGTTTCCAGACCTCCTTGAAGAAGACGTTGAAGGAAACATGTCCCTTCGAGAAGCCCTTTCATTAGAAGGAGAAGTTCAGAGGGCATCAGAGATGAGAGCGCCGCCCGTGCCACTCTTCTAAGGCATGATGTTCAGTCCAAGCTGCGAAGGGCACTGAGGAGGTGGCCGAAGGGTGAAGAAAGAGAGTTCGAGCCAGGAGAACTGGTGTACTTCTACGCCCCAAAGCCCTTGAGCACACGTTTCAAGAAGGAACCCGGGTTCTGGCGTGGACCAGCAATGGTGCTGGCAAAGGAGTCACACCAGAAGTTCTTCATCAGTTGGCGAGGCCGATGCCTTTTGGTCTCTGCAGCCAACTTGAGATCAGCCTCACGACTGGAAGGAAAAGATCATGACAAGAGGCTGCAAGAAGGAGAAAGGCTGGAGGAAAGTTGGAAGAAAGGAGAGAAGCAATTTGAAGACATGAGTGCAGTTCCAGAACCGGTAGAAGAAGAGAAGACTGAAGCTCTGGGCTGGGAAGCGCATGATGGAGTGGTTTCAAGGAAGCCAGGAGGAAGACCTAAGAGCCAAGCAAAGGAGATCGCCAAGACTCTGAGGGGAATGAAGACAATCAAGACGATCCAGAAGCATAGAAGGAAGAAAGAAGATCGCCTCGACCTCCGGAGTGGGACAACGAAGCCAATTGAACGACTGCCTCAAGAAGAAGCGAAGTCCAGCGATTTCAAAGATCCCCAGGAGGAAAAGAAGGATGAAGAGGCCAGGAACCAGAAGATGCAGCAAATCCAAGGAGAGATGTATAAGTGGTTGGGCAAGCCACAAGAAGATGGCTATCAAGACCGTTTGAGACAACATCTGATTGATGATGTGCCCATGCAGTTCAAGAGAAAGCATCAAGAGGAGCCAGCTGGACAGTTGTCTGAGGAGCAGCTGGTGAAGAGGTTCAGGCCCTCCTTCTTCGCTTACACGATGCTGGCCTCCATCAATCGGGATGGCAAGAAGCGGGCGAATCAGTGGGCATCTAAAGAGGAAGTTGAGAAGCTGAAGATCTTGCTTGACCTGCCCATCACCAATGCCCGTTTCCATTTCGGAGCTCGCAAGCGACTTCAAGATCCCAAAGGACACAAAGGTCAAGCACTCAAGCACGTTACACAGTGATGCTCGGAGAACAGACAGGCTCAGCTCTGGTGACACAAGAGACGACTGAAGAATGTCAACAAAGACCCAAAAGAAAAGCTCCCCTCCTGTGGAAAGGAATGACACTCTTTGTGCACCAGGGCCAAAAGAAATCAAAGGAGTACCAGCTCCCAAGTGGCCTATATGAAGCCCGGGTGAGTGACCTCCTGGAATGGAAGAAGATGGTCAAGGAGGAAGATAAACAACAGGCATTCTTTGAAGCTTTTCTCCTCCAGATGAAAGCAAGCGGGAAGGAACTCGATCCAAGATTCTTCAGCACAGAAGAACGGAAAGCCTTCGACGTCGCTGACAAGAAAGAGTGGGAATCTTGGGTGAAGAATCGAGTCATCAGAAGGCTCACCCCTGAAGAGGCCCGAAGAGTAGTAGATCTGAAGAACATCTTCAAGGCACCAGCAAGGATTGTCCGGGTCAATAAAGGGGCCATGCAGGGCATCTTCCAACCAAAGTCCAGGATGGTGATCCCTGGCCATTTGGACCCACACCTTGGCCAGTATCGGTCAGATGCACCGACGGTGATGTGGATCAGTGTCCAGCTCGCCAAGGCGGTTTGTGCCATGAAGAAGTGGAGAGCCCTGACCTTTGATGTCACGACGGCATTTCTCAGTGGCAAGGAGGTCGACAAAGAGGTGATGGTCAGGGCACCGCCGGAGGGCTTGCCGGCAATTCCTGAAATGAAAGAACCAGCAGTTAAACCAGGAGAGCTGCTGAGAGTGGTGAAGAGTGCCTATGGCTTGTCAGAAGCACCCAGGTTATGGTACCTGCGGGCCAAAGAACTGCTCGAGGAAGCAGGATTTGAAGAACTCCAAATGGCAAAGGCCACCTTCCTGAAGAGATCCAAGAAGAACCAGGAGGTGGAAGCAATCCTTTGCCTACATGTGGATCGCAAGCTTGCTCCAGCCATCCAGCAGTCCATCGACAAAAGGTTCGCAATAAAAGAATGGAAAGATCTGGAAAAGGAGCCAGAGACCTTCCTAGGAGTGAAGACAAGTTATGCTGATGGAGCCTTCACCGATGACATGACAGAATACATCGACAAGATCAGCTTCGCTCCTGAAGAGACACCTTCAGAAGAACCACTGGTGGGAAAGCAACTGTCGGCATTCAGGCGCCTCATCATGCAGTTGCGTTGGCCCTCACACCATGTGCTTCCGGAATTCCTCTACAGAGTGAGCGAGTTGGCCCAACGAGTAAGTCATGCAAAAGGAGGCGACCTGAAGTATGGCAACAAAGTTCTCAAGTCCATGAAAGAAAGTGCAGCCCAAGGCAAGGCCACCATGAAGATCCCCGCCATCTCAGGGGAACCGCTGCTGATCGGTTTCTTCGATGCCTCCCTTGGAACATCCAAGAGCACCCATGCCCAACAAGGAGAAATCCACCTCCTTACCAGCACCACGGCATTTCGCCAACCAACCCCCATGTGCATCCTCGAATTCCACTCAAACCGCATCAAGCGTGTGGTTCGAAGTTCGCTTGCGGCTGAGGGATGCGCCATGAGCAGTTGTGGAGACCGGCAGCTGTTCAGCCGGGCTTTGCTGGATGCCTTCCTATATGGGAAGATGGAGGTGACCTCTCAGTGGCGCCGGGAGCTCAAGACTTCCGGCTGTTTGGTGACCGATGCAAAAGGATTGCACGATCATCTCCATAAGACCGGAGGGGTGGCAACTGAGCGGCAAGCAGCGTTAGATATGCTGTTGATGAAGCAGCTCATCGAGGATGGCATCATCGGCCTGAAGTGGACGCCAACCTGGCGCCAATTGGCCGACCCTCTCACGAAAGAGATGATGGCCACACTCCTCGAAGACCTGAAGAAGTCAGGCCAGGTCTGTCTGACCCAAACGGCAGCAGACGCCATAGAAGAAGAGCGACGTGCTGGGATCCGACGAGGCCAGCGAGAACGTCGCAAAGAACGAATGAAGAATACAAAAGAAAAGACAAGAGCCGACAGCAACACTTTTTCCCTTTGATGTGAAGGGCATGTGGAACGCTTGCTGTCGGAAGTTGTGCAGTTCGCCGCCTTTGACTTTTTCACTACCTCAAGGTATCCGGATGACCGCATTCGCGACAGGCAAAAGTGCCTCACTGCCTGCTTTTTGCTTTTGCTGGGCCGACTTGGTTTTTCCCTTTTCGGTTGCGGAAAGACTCTTGTTCTTAGAGGGACTGGCCCCCCCAATCACCCACAGAAAGTTCGCGCAGTTAAAAAGCTGTTGGCGTCCTTGATGGAAAAAATGGGGCCGCAAGGAACGGCCGCCGCCTTGCAAGCCGCCTGAACCTGAAAAATTTGATTCATTTTGATTCGGTGTCAAGTTCAACCATCTGTTCCAATAGTGAGCAAGGGTGTAGGTCATCATCCTTGTTGTTCTCCAAGCACCCATATCCTAAAAGTACCGTACCACACGCAACAGTAAAGTATCGGCCCCGCTTCTGAAGCATCATTGGAGGACGTCCATTCAATGATGGCTTGGTCGAGAAGCTCCTGCGTGAAAGGATGGGCGCACAGTCAAACCATGTCAAACCCACAATCAAGTGTCCCACTCGATCCGAAATAGGTGTTGTACAAAAGGTATCCATCAAAACTAACCCTGCTTTGGATCCAATCGTGACACTTATTGCATCGAGAAATCCTTGCCACAAAATGTCAGCACACCCTGCAAATGCAGAGTAGGCCCAAATTGTGGCAAGTTTATGAATTTACATTTTGGGGCACGACTTGACAATGAAGATTGACAATCGTGGACGCTACTTGTGGCATTTATCGCTGTAGAAGCGACCATATCTGATGTTGTGGTAGTTGTGCGATGAGTCTTCGCGCAAATACAGCACAGTGCAACAATGCCTTCTGGCGAAGCTACTATAACCAGTAAACATAACAAGTATTGATATGGCTATCACATCAACCAAGCACCAAACAGTCCCAAAGCAAAAGTCATCCGTCGTAGAGACATGAACCAACAGCACTTGCCTCCTACAAAAGAAAGAACGCAAACAGCATTCATGGAATCGAGTGCTCAGAAGCATGGTTCACAAAAAACGTGCTAGAAACAAAGGTCTAGTCTAGGCAACTTGCAAGGTAATCTATTTCTCAAATTTGGACGTCCATTGGCCTCTGCAGTTTGAGAACCCTCTTACTCCTGGTGCTTGCAGCGGCCACTGTTCTCGGCAAACCGTGGGTCCTGACAGAGACTAGGTGCCGAAACATCTTGTTCCGCGACTATGTAGCACTGCACATCCTGAAATTAGACAATCTGTTAGGTGACTAGGTGATGAAACAAAACGTTTCCCAACACAATCTCCAACATGATCCAATATGCCATTCAACGCGCAAGATGGCCCAGTGTCCTCCGCCAAGTCAGCTCGGCCCATCGCCTCATTGTTGACAATGTGTGACAGGCCGAAAAATCTTTCAACAGTCCTTTCAACTCGAGGCTCTGACGTTCATCAAGCGCTTAAAGAGCGAATCACCATTTGCGCCAATAATCATGAAGGTACCATCCTGCTTGCGCTTCGACCCTTGGCGGCCATTACTCTGGGAACCTTCATACCTAAGTATCTTAGACAAAGGCAAAGGCAAATTATATAGTTGCGAAATGCCAGCATGGATCAATGTTACTTCTGGCGCTAGTGGCTTTCAGTCTTTGCACTTGTGTCACTCCGATTGCCTTGCATGGGTACGTGCCCGTTGGCACAATCCCGGTCAAGGAAGATCCAGACCTTCGCAAATCACCACTCTCCATGGAACACTGGGTTGCTGTCCCCAATAGGGGAACGTCTACACACAGGTCGGCATAGCGGACCTGGATACTGTAATTCTACTCCAACCATATCCGATCCAAATAGCCAAAATGTAGTGATAATGAATAAGCCGCTAAGCCAAGCCCACGCGCTAAACAAACCAAAAACCAAAGCCCCCAGCAACCCCCAGCATAGACCCCAGATAGTGAAAGATATTTGTCGGCAGCATAGCAGTTGCACCCACACTCCAAGACGCGTGCTGCCATAGGGCAGCGGCCCCAGCAGCCAAGCTCCAAAGCGCACACGGGCCATACACATCTGGCAGCGGCATCTTGTAGCGGCATCAGCAGCCAGGCTCCAAACTGCATCCAGGCACCCCTTCCTATACTTGAAGTAAGAACCCAAGGGAAAAGCAACCTACCCGAACCTGTCAGGACAGGATTTCATCTCAAGCTAGTATAAGCTAGTAGGACGCTGCGACACTGCAGGAGTTCTCAGGCAGCCAAATGGCGGCTGTCGGATTTCGGCTGCATAGTCATACTCTGGGACGCATGCCTCAACCAGGCAGCACGTGTTGCACGTTTTGTGAGCCCAAAGTGACAAAGTGCCCGAATCTATCATCTGGTATATATATATATATATAATTTATACATGTTGCCATTAGTAACAAGTGCATTGCTACTAGTAACAAGAAGCTATTAGCAGCGATGCACTTGTTACTAGTAGCGATGCAATGTGGTGAAAGAGAAGCACTTCCAATCAACGTCGGCGAGCCTCCAAAAGACTGAAGACGCTCTCTGCAATGGAAGCGTCCACATCTTGACCTGGCTCTGGCAACAAAGGCAGGAAGAGAGTGAAGACAGAACACCTCTTTTAGAATTTCAAGAGTAAAACGTAAATATCTTACAAATGTGTGGACTTTGTCCGAAACCAAAACTCCACACAAGGCAAGCCAAAAGTAGAAATACCATGAAATCCCGGATGATTTCTTCAGGACTGACTGGGAAGAGGAAAAGTGTTCCTTCACAAAACATTGACATGACAGCATCAAACAACCCCTTGTCTGAGAGACCAGCCAATGCCACAAACGACTCCTTCAGAAAGTCGACCTTGGCCCACACGAGCTAATTACCCAATGCTTCAGCATGATTATGCACTAACATGCAATAACTATAATGCTTTTCACGTCCATTATTATTTCAGGGACTGAGTGCTATGGTTCAAGATCATCAGGCAGTTCCCAGTACCTCTGGTGGCTGCAACCCCCATGCGAAGGTTTGAGACTTTTGGCGTGGTTGCTGCCGGAGATTTCACGGCAAATTGATCTTCTTTGGCCAACCTAAATGGACATTGGAGCAGTCTCAGCATCACAAGCCTCGCAAAGAAAGCATACAAGTATGCTGGTGCTGGTGAAGGGACAGTGGCAACAGCTTGGGGATGAAGAATCGATAATGCCACTTGTGACCATAGTCATAGACATCCAACATCATCGAAGGTGGTTTGTTTCTTCACGGCTGATATTGTATCGCACAACCAAAGCATGCAAATATCCTCCCCGCTTGCAGTGAAAGGCCAATCCAAAACTAGAGATGAATGACAGCCAAAGTGGAAGTCCTGTTTGAGGACAGTGCCTGAACACTCGCATTACACACTACTATATCATTGATGGTTGATTATAACTATGCTGTAGCACGAGCTGTAGCATCCTTAGAAAGTGATGGCCAGTCCCTGATAGACTGCGCCAATGCGAGGCTGGTCCAATTTCAAAAGACCCATGCCGTGAAGTCTTGCCAGCTACAAACACAAAAGGATCACAAAATGGACAGGTGCTTTGGAAATTACTCCACTAGATCCTTTACATCCACAGTGTTCCTATTGCCTACCTTGAAGAGATAATTGCAATGACGGATGTGCAGCGCTTCCTAGCCAATCCAACCCTGCCATCTTGGACCAAATGTGTGCTCGTCGATTGATTACAGCAGGCGAGCAGGACAATTTCTGGTGTATCTTTGGTGGCGCTCATGCCTCTCTCTTGCAGTGTCTTGCCTTCTACAAGGAGTTGTGTCCGACTGCGTCCTGCGTTCACCCAGGGCCATCAGATCAGAAGTCAGTTCAGCCAATCTCCACGTGGGAAAACCCATGCAGCTCGCAGTGCATCTTCTGGCCAAAACCTTGGGGGGTCATGCACAGTCGTTTGCAGGACCTACATTACTAAAAATATCTCAACCTCCTGAGTGTTCTTAAAGACCTATCTCTAGGTCTAGGGCATTCTAGGCCACACGGCAGTGCGCCAAGTGTGCCACTGTGGAGACTTGCCCGTTTCGCGCGTCATTTCCACAAGCTGAGCAAGCTGCTGATGGTAGATCAATGCTTTCACCACTGGACCAGGCTCAGTTGGCATGACATCAACCACTGAGCGTCGATACACCCCAACCTGCAATCTTCGGATCGATCAGTAAGAACAAGCTACTTTGGGATGTTTTGTTGCAATCTTTCCCCTAGCCTGAGGCAGCAGAAAACCATAGAAAACCAAAACAAGGACAAACACGATGTGGCAAACCGGGAACCACTTTCAGATCGGTCGAGGTCGAGGTCAAGCCTACGAAAAAGCGGTTGGCCTAAGTGATGCACCATGTAATTAGTCGAAAGGCAATCCCATAATGAGTTTTTTTTGTTAAACTTGAGCAATGAGGATGTTCGAAAGGTTCCAAGCACACAGCGGTGTGACTGAAAGAACTCAAAGAAAACCCCGATGCTACGAAAACAGAGTAGCTTTCTTTTAAGCATGAAGTTGGAGGGTGGAGTGCAATCAAGTCCGGGTGACTTTCAAACAACTCACAGTTACGTGTTGCGAGGTGAAATCACTAGAGAAAAATAACAACTCACTGCTCAACAAGCTGCTACCGGGCTTGACCTGCTGTTGACACCATGTATATATACATCTATGCGAGACAATGGATACACTGTGCCACAATGAAAAGGGACAGGTCAACAACTTGATGCAACATGTAGCAATAAGGTGCTTAAAGGAGGGTGCTGGCATCAAATTATATAGAAGTTGCTGCCACCAAGCTGGGGAAAACGAAAACACGGGAAGGGAGTCGTGCTTGATTCTTGATTGATGCTGGCCTTTTTGGAAACTAGTGATGCAATGCTCTATGTACAAAACAACTGCTTGTGTTCGACCAGCTGAGCAAGGATTTTGGGATGTTGGCAGCATGTCTCTAATTACGCTAATTTGATACCGTTTGTTCTCATTCTTGAACAAAAAAATAGTGGTGGTCCTGTTGGCTGATCAGCATTTGTGGTGCGCCTTCGAACATGATCAAAAGAATCTGTGTCAAGCAAATGGTAATTTTCATGTTCCCCACAATGCTTCGACATCGAGCAATTGTCTTATGACAATCTTTGACCCAAAATGGGCGATGGGTGCTGAGTACCTTTGATGCTTACAGTAGAAGATCACTCGGGAGGGGTGTCAATCATTGAAATGGCCCCTACACGCTACAAGTAGGAGCAAATGCAATTCTCTTCCAGCGCCTCTGGGATGTTCGGCCGAAAGCCTTCCACTTGATTGCCTGAGTAGCACATCTGCATCCGCGCAGTACCTTTATTTGTTTTTGCGACGTGGTGGAACACACTGCTCCCACATATTAAACATCCACAAACATGTTCAGGATTTGCTGTGTCAATTTCCTTAGTTGACTTTAGTTGGCTTCCCCGCCGCTGTAACATAGTCAATTTGTGGTTTCCACTATGCAATTCACAACAAGCTAAGCGTAAAGCCGGTTAGTGCACGTTGGACGAAGCCTTTGCTTCCAGCCAAGGAGCAATTAGCAATAGTTTCACGGGCAGCGGCGTCTGAAGGCCAAGAGATGACCTTGGTTTGGCTTTGACACACACACACAGAGTATTGGCATATTATGTTATTATGTTTCCATACATGGCGAGTTGTCAGCTTCTGAGACGCTTTTGCGCGAGTGCCTTCAGCCTGTCATGCCAAGTGCCAACAGTTCTGTGTTGCACCCTCCCCTGTATTTGTGGGGTCTATGACTATGCTTAATTATGTACAGTATGCCCAAGCATGTCTCGAGGACATCAATGAGTGCAGGTCAAACATGGGTACTCTTGAGTTGGCTTTGCCTTGATGAGTGTTGCATGATGGTGTATAGTTCATGTTGCTGTGTCTGCAACTGCGGCACGGTGCCAACAATGATGTCGCTGGCCTCGGTGTGTGCATCCCAGTGCGCAGGTGAGAATTCTCTTCCAAACAAGGAGCCTTAGCATCATCGATTTAATGATAGTCAATGCTGAACTTTCACCCCAGGCCTTGCTCTTCAATGTCAAAAAAAGGGTGCTTGCTGGGGGTCCCTGGAGGGTACAATCTACCTCGCCTGCATTCTACACATGCAGGCTGCAGGTATTTAAAGCATACAATTCATCATCATCATCATCATCATCATCATCATCATCATCATCATCATCATCATCACATATATATATACATATTATAGAGAGTTCTCCACCCCTCCTCATCTCTCTCTCTCTCTCTCTCTATCTCGCGCTCATTCTTCTGCAGCGCTGACAGTCGAGCTGTAAGAAGCTGTGTGGGCACATACAACCACAGTATATAGTATACAGTTCTAGGATGTTCGTCTGGTCCTTTTCTTTCACCTTCTTTCAGCTCCATGTCTTCGTCTGGGCACACTTCCAGTTTGCACCGCAAAGGGGTATGTCAGCCGTGGGTCCTGGAAAAGGCCGAGATGAGAAACCACGGTCAACATAGATCTTTAAGTGTTTGTATGTCCTTGCTAGCAAGGTTTCAAGTTCGCCTTGCGGAACCATACCTTGCAAATAGTATACTTGCACAAAGCTTCCCGAATGTTCAATTGACCACTTGTCCGAGTCCTCCTGTTTGCCTCTCCATCCATGCCACCAAACTGCCATGACCAAACTAAAACAGAACGACAAAGAGATGAAGAGATTCACCAGACACCCCCTTTCACTCCTGAAAAAGACGGAAGCCTTGCACAAAGGCTTTTTGCCATGTGGCATTGCTTTTTTGCAGGATCCCCCACTTGTCACCACCTGGGCCGAAGTCACCTGAAAAGCAAAGAGCAATGGACAACGAAGGGGTGACTGTGCCAAAAGGGTCTAGTTGGACCAAATGCTTCATTGACCACAAATTGATCGCGAATGGTTTTCCTTGTGTCTAAGCCTTGAAAGCACACTGAAGAGGGCATATGAGCCCGCCCAGCTCTGTCGAATAATAGTAATATATTTATATAGAAATTTGAAAAACATCTGAAACGATGTACAGTAAGCCCTGGAACCATAATTGTGCGCCACCTGACATAGAGAACCATAACACTCTTTTCAATTTTTTAGTTGGCGTGACGACTTTCCTAGTGAACAATGAGTTGATTTGCAGCTCAGAAAGTGCACCTTCTATGCAGCCTTACACCACTTCCTCCAGTGCACCACCCTTGTGTCTCTCACAAGGTCGGACGATTCCCCCACCGTCAGATCCTGCAAACGTTGCGGGATTGCTTCCGATACCGTCGCGCACCCTCATGTGAGACACAATGTCAACCTATGATTTATCAAGTTACCCTCCTAAATAAAGCTAAACGGTTTTACCGCTGGACCTAGATATCCCCAATCTGGCCTTTAAACAGTTGTCTTGAAAAAGACTCCTGCCTCCAAAGAAAGCAAGCAGCACAGCACAGCCACAACCACCACCACCACCAACAACCAATACCAAAACCTCCAGCCCTGTCCTTCCTACCAATACGACCAATACTAAAACAGTATGTTAAGCCTATTTGAGGTCATGTGAGGAAGGGGGCCCCCCTTGATAAATCAGAGGTGGACATTACGCTTCCCAACCACTCTGGAGTCAGCTAAAGTGGCGTACCAAGAAAAGGGAAAAGGGAGAGTTTGCACAAACGAGTCAAGCACCTCAAACCAACTCCCACGACGGCAAGCTTTTGGCGGCAGCAGCAGCAGCAGCAGCACCGTTGTCAAAGAGACCAACCAGTTTCAATCGCTCCTCATCTGACAGAAAAGCTTCACTTCCAAAGAATGCACCTTTCGGAAGTACTCGTCCGTTGGAGTTGTTGCCGTTTGAATCGCTTTGACCTGGGAAAAAGGTGACATTCTTGACATTTGATTTTGACAACATTTGCCAAAATCAAAAGGGTCAAGAGTGTCACTTTTTCAATCTTTTTCCCAGGTGAAAGCGATTCGAACAGCAACAAAACCTGCAGGATGTCTTCCACCAACAGCAGCTGCATACTGCAACTTTTGTCTCTTCCTGGTTTCTTCAAGAGTCCCTTGGGATCTGCTGTTGAACATGTCGTCCCAGCTGGATCAGCAGCGACTGTCCATGTCGTCGGGATCGGTCTCTTCCGCTCGAGAGAGCCGTGAAATCGGGTGTGAGATGCGGTGGTCTATACTACTTGCTGCTTGCTCTTCCAAGCATTGAGCAGTTCCTCACAAGTGCGGGTACGTGCGTAGATCTATTACTATATATGTGATTATATGTGTCTATGTACATGTTTGTGCATATGCAAAAAGGTGTTTGGTCTGAGGGCCTGGACTTTCTCAAGGTTGGGGCCACGGCTCCTATGCGCCCTCAAACAAGAAACAGCCAAGAGAACATTCTGGAGCCTACTAGGAATGAGGGACCTGCGTACTTTAAAGTGTGACAGGCGGCCAAGCGGAGTTTCAAGACGATCTCGACATCTACAGGTGCTGGCACGGTGTTCACGGAGTGCGAGTCCAAGTGCGCCAAGTGGCCCCGTAGAGTGCCGTAAGCAAAGACCTTCAAGACCTCACTCGGCAGCACGAGTGAGAAGAACCTCCTGGCCGCTAGAAGAGGTAAGAAGTAGCTAGTAGAAGAACAACTACTAGAATGCTACTACTTAGAACGCAGGATAGCGATCGCACTATTCATTTGGTTCCTAAAATTTTAACGTGTTTTTGGATGACATGCAAACTCTACCGTGCTTCTCTGTCCGTGTGACTCGGAGAGTGGAATGCAACTGTCCAACCTGCCCTTGCCGTGGAACACGTCAGTGCCTCCAGTGTTTTTTCAACTTCTGGATCGTCGTCAAAGGCCGCCAGCTGTGACAAAATGTTCTGGAGCCAGGCGAGGGCAAGCAATGCTGAGAAAATGAATGACATCGCAACATCTTGCAACACATTCTAGCCCCTGATATGCCTGGTATGTGTCGTGAACATCCATTCATGCTCCCCTCACTAGTTGGGAAATCCTGTGAACTGCTAGTGGTGAGTGGCTACAAATTCTCAGCGGCTTTGCGCACCCAGAGCTTGGGTGTGCCGATGATGCATCTGAGCTATCTACTAGGCAACCACACACATCAAACATGAAGTGACACGTGTTAACTGCCAATAACCTTCAATAGCCCACCTCTTTCAGACTCGCCGGAAGCTGGTCAACATGTTTCGCTAAGTCCGCCTGGGCGGGGATTCCGACTGAGTCCGGTGATGTTTCTCCTCAACAGGGGTTCAATAAAGGGCTTTCAAACAAATTAATGATATCGATTCATGTCAATTCCGTGCATGAGACTCAACAGTAACTTTAGATACAACTTGATTCAGCCAGCTGCAGACTCGGCTTCCAACATTATATAAATTCCACCATTCATGAAAGGTGACAATACCTTGGCGTTCCTCTGCTGGGATGGTTTGACTGCAGCACAAAAGCTACAAACTTCTGATTCGCCTGGGCCTAAGAATGCACAACTTGTATAATTTGTTTTCAATTGTGACAACCTCATGCAATCACCACAGCAACACCATGCACTATCAACTATGTCCTGTTAGGCAGAGTGCCACAAAGCTTGCAAACCCCACTTGACATGACTTGTAGTGTCCAATGTGGCCTTTTTAATTCGCGGGTTGCACAGCACCTCTGCCACATCCTGCCATTGTGGTCGTCAAATCTACCGCACATATTCAACATAACATATCCAAGAAAGGCCGCTGAAGAAAAGACAGCACGCACACACACACACACACTTGCAAGCATAACACATTTTCAGATGCACTACATTGCACTGACAATTCATTCACCCCCGCAGTTGACCTACAGTCAGAAAATTGCATAAAATGGCATCTGTGCGGTTTTGTCCCTTGTCTTCATGTTCACGATCTTCGATGCCTCTGCATCATGCCCGCACTTTGCCAAGCTTGAGTGAAGTTGCGATCCCACCACAAGTGGCAAGGACGGCCTTCTCAATGCCTGACACAGCTTAGCTCATACTTGTAGGGCTTGGAACCAACCATGGCTTGATGCAAAATGCCAGTGTGACAAATTGATATGACTGAAGTGTCAGCGCAGCCGCCGATAGAACCTCCGATATTTATATAATACATAAAAATACATAATATATACAGTATATATATACGTATATATTTATATATTTGGATATATTTAGTATATACCCTCTGTTCATCTCTTGTCCCTTTTCCACACGCGAAGCCATCTTGCCGCCTCGAAGCAGCTACATGCCTGGAGGCTAAAGGCGACTGAAGCGACATTGTTGCAAGAGCTGCACAATTTGTCTAGCATGGTTTCCGCACTTGAGATTCTGGCTTGAGCACCACGACCCGCTCTTTCCCACACTTGTGAGTCCCCGCAGTCCCCGCAGTGGTACAGCGGGCACAGTTTACAGTCCTTTTGCATATGTCACCTGCGTGCCATCTCCCTAGCTTCCCTTCCAAACCCAAAAGCTGTCCGGGGCCCCAACCATCACAAGGGCTGCTGCAGTGAAACTGTCCGGCGCTGTAGAATCTGATTCTATTGTTGCTATATGTTCGGTCAAATGATAAACCTCGATTCTTGATGTGTTTGCACTCCATCAGTTCAATTGGTCAAACGAGCAGCATTCCATTTGCAGGTCCAAACTCCTTTTGACCAACAACCTTCCCAGTGTGGTGGTGGTTGGGACTTTGTGGTGGTGCTTCTGATTGATGGAGTTGGTGTCTAACAGGAGGCAACCACTGCCATAGGGTGTCATGTGTAAACAAGTATCTGAATTTATCCGAATTGGCATCCTGAGAGCTACTGCTGCGGCCAAACATACACGAGATAACACAACCGTTGACCGCCATGTTAGAATGGAAAAGAAACATCGCACAAATCAAAACGGATTGCAAAACAAAGGCAACAATCTGCCAAACTGTGCTGATGGTTGCCATCACCTCATCTGGGTCACTTCCGGAAAGTATGCAAGAGAAACTGGAGACCTCGGCTCTCGTTTTCATGGCTGGGTCGATGGCCCCTTTTCAGCAGGGCCAGCAAAATGCCCAGCCTTGCTCGAAGCTGGTGGTGGGTGGCAAGCATGACAAAAGCAACCTAACCCCATGGACCCCATGCCAATGCATAATTTCGCCCATCGGATGTATGAATCTGAATGTCGCCTATGATTCGCTGTTGGTGAGAGCTGGTACGAGAAAAATTGCCCAGTGGGCATGCAGCAAGAAGAGAAGCGGAAATGAGCGTGAGTGGCTCGCAAGAAGAAGTGACTGATTGCGAACAGCTAGGGTGCTTTAGTGTCTGGAGTTTAGCATCACATACATGTATCTGGGGCGTGCAATCCGAAAGATTAAGCAGTGAATTGACTTTTTGGACATGCCAACATGAACTTCCAAAGTTCAGGTTCCCACAAATGCTGCCAAGTGACACAGCATTCATGCCGGCCAAGGTGTCGCCAATGGAAAGATTGGGTCGCACTGGTGGCTCCCCCGGCACACCTACGGTGCATCCAAACAAACTTGTAGCTTGAGTGAAAACCCTATCCCTATCCTGCTCACTGAGCATAAGTCAACCGGGGATCTAAGCAAGAGTTACGCCCTCAGTCGCAAAAACAAACACCTGCATACTTCACAACACGGCTATGTCAAAAACTACCCAACTTCGATCCATCTCAAACAGTCATACAAGCGAGAGTAGAACAAGCGTCATTGGGTTAGCCAAACAGTGGCTGAAAGCAAATCGATTGCCTGCCAGGGCAATGTATGATATGTGATCTTTATATAGGAATGACGGTATGGGGTGATTGCTGTAGTCGTACGGTCGGCTTAACTGAAGAAATCTGAAGAGCACGGCAACACATCTCTCATCCGAGGTGCCATTCACAAAGCGAAAGCCGCCGAAGCCCTCACAGACTGAAGCAAAGCCAGGCTCTGCGGATCTCGGCCAGTCACGATCCAACAGTGCCAAAACGTGCCCCAACTCTGTAGTCTATGGCTTTTTGGGAGTGGGTATAGCGGAGCCAAGCAAGTGCTGGACACATAGCCAAATGGCTGAAGCATGCTATATATACTATATATATGTGCGTGTGAGTGTGTGCATTTTTACTTATACTTTTTGTTTTTACAGTAACATCTTTTAAATAGAGCCTGCAAGCGATTAGACTGCAACAACCCATGCCAACTGTGATTGGCTATGCTCAAAGCAGTGAGTGAACCAAGAATAGTCACTGCATGACAATGTCACCACATGACGGCAAATTAAGTGACCTCCTAAATTGCAGCCACGGCTCTTTGGCCCAGTTTGACCATAGCCCGACCTTGAGATCTCTGATGTGCTCAATCCGCTGCAAATAGACCCTTCATGACCCTGCCATAAACTTGTGTGTCAATGACGCTGAGTTGAGTGGGCAGAATTCTTAATGCAGCAAAAAGGCACACGGGCTACAATAAGTCCAGGATTCTCCTCCGCAAGCCGGTCTCATAGCCCACTACATCCCACTAGGAAATTCGCATCCTTTTCCATTTATGTTCCAACCTTCAAACTCGTACTGGTGTGGTATGTTCATAACTCCCAAGCAGGTCCGCGCTGAAGTGTTAAATTTCAATCAAACAAGCAGGCAAGTAGCAACTATATAAGTAGATGCAAACGGAGCTACCACCTCTCATTTGTCTCAGGATTCCAACGTACCCATCAACCGTCTCCTGTCGTAAAGTCTCTGGTGCCATACCCCATCGCTCAAGGGTGCCTGGTTTAAAGTTTTCCACCAGCACATCCTCGGCATCATCTCAACTTGTCTGTCGGGCCGTGGGACAGGCAAAACACATGAAAAAGTCATGCAAATATTGCACTCACACCTCGAAAGTGAAAGACTATGAAAAAACAACGCTACCAGTATGATCTTGCAACCACAGAGTTCGGATCACCTCAATGGAAACGGCTTCTTCACCTCTCCTGCCTGCAGTTTTTTGCTGAGTTTCTGTTGGGGTCATTCATGTTCTAAAATCTCTTACATAATTGCAACCTCTGTTGAAAGCTGAGGCAACGGCAGCATGACCTGGAGGCAAGAACAGGCAACATCGCGCTCCAGATCTTCCGTTCCAGTGTAGTTTCACTTTCGCTCTTCAAAGCTTGGAAACCCATATCTTCGCTTACGTTTTGACACTTCCTCGGGCGTCAGAACATCACAAAATATGTTTTGTATGCGGGAACACGAAGAGAAATAGTGCTGGTATCAAATTCTCTGGGCCTAGAATCGCTTAGAACCGTCAAGCACTGATGCAAACTGATTCTTATCCCAACCTGTAAGCTTCTTCAGCAACTCGCGGCCCTTTGGCTGTCGTAGATCCAGCGCTAGGCTCCGCTTGTTTCGAGCTATGCCTGGCGAGCATGTTTTCCAGCAGCTGAAAGGAGGGACACTACTCAAGGTCTATATGTCTATATATATATGGTTCTCTAGTGATTGTTTCATATTGTGTCATTACAAGGGTTCTGGAATCATTCCACCTTGCAGGGAACTGCTTCGAGATCGGCCCAATTATCAACGCACTAAATACATCCGAGGCACTCTGCCACCAAAGGCTTGTCTGGGTCTGACCTCGGTTCAGCATGGGTGTCACAAGAGCATACAAGAGCCAATTGCTAGTCCAAACTCAGCAAAGTGATTCAGGTTTGGCAGGAAAATCTAGCAACAGCTCGCGTCCGTAACCTTTGGACAGTCCTTGTGACCTTCGTGAACAAAAAGGTTGCTTCAGCAAAACGCCTGGCTGACATTGCTGCTGTGATCGGGAGGCCAAGGTCTACCCGTATTTGGTGATCACCGCCAAGCAGCTATCAAGAATTCTCCACTTGCGAATGCCATCTCCGACTTCAGGCGGCTCCACCTCATCTGCAGTGGAACACAGTTGTCAAGCATTGGATTTGCCATCGCAATGGCCAGCAGCTGGAAAACTTCCATTCGATCCCATCCTCAAGGAGTTCAGCTTTACCCAAACACACCCAATGTACTGCCCCCATCAATGTGACTCAAACAAGCTTAGAGAACATCTAACACCTGAGAATACAACCAGCAAATCCAAAGCCGTGCGATGATGAGAGCAAGGAATGCTGACATAAGACCTGCTGATTCGCATGTCTCTTCTTTTCACCTGATTCGCATCGCTGACACTGACCCCCCTAGTGTCTCCCACCTGTACAAGCTGCAGAAGCTGCAGAAGCTGTGCCGATCGGATTGGCTCGACTCAGGTGTTCCCCCCACTAAGCGGTCCCACCCTCGGAGCAAGCGGTTGCCGTGGCAACAAGTCCAAACAAAAAGAACAGGTGCTAAAAATGCGAAAGTTGGAACCTGATGGGTCAAGGTGGCAGGAATAGCAACAAGCTTCCGCGGATTCTTCCAGACCCTGCCATTGATTTGGAGGTTGGAACAACACTTGTTCACCCCAACAGCAGATTTTGAGGACATGTTGCCCGCCTTTCCTTTCTTGGCTCTGTCGGGACAAGGCGATCCTTTTCATTTTCTCGTGCGTCCAAATATCAAGGGAACGACATCTGGCCTACGGAATCGTCTTGCGGGACAATTCATTCTCTCCCCAGAATTGTCTTGCGGAACTACTTTCCATCTGCATGAGAAGAGAGGATACATGAGAAATGTTGTGTGTGTGAGAGGTCGGCAGTTCTTAGTTGATCAACAAGTTTGCTAAAGTTCAGATCAAGGACCCGCTCCACTCATCATCGCTCATCAGCCAATATCCAATGGTCCAGTGTCATTCGGCTCAGGTAGGCTGACACTACATTGGATCAAAAATCGATGAGATCATCTCCAAACGAATCTTTTGCAATTCATCACCTCCGGCTGAAATGCTCAACTGCCGTCCTTCTTGACAGGATTTGACAGGATTGACCAAAAAATTATGCAAATTATATACAGTATTTACAAATTGGCGCATGATGGCGCATGCAACAGTTCTACAGTTTCGACTGCAAAGCAACGAAGTGGCACTACGGCCGGACTCCTGCTAAGGATTCAAAGCTGAGCGGCGGGATTTCTTGGACAAAGCCCCTTCCATGATGGCTCTCTTTTGCTTCTGCACCTCCAGAATGCGCTCCTGGATTCTGAAGAGCAACGTGACCTCTCCAATGTGAATGACCTACACTAAGTACAGGCTGTAATACTCATCCGTCAAAGAAATACAAAACGACAAAGTAGCCAGTGTGGATGAGGCCGCTGGGCAAACATATTTCCCTACATCAAAGGTCGCCAGTTACTTTTTTCATTCAACACGCGACCCTCCTGCTCCCTAACTATATACAGTAATATGGTACGTATCTGCTCAACTGTGATCAATCATTGTGTCATGTCTTGAGCATTCGCAGTTACAGTGGCCAAAACTGTATCAGATCAAGTGGTATGTTTTAACTATATAGTTCCAAGGTGTGCAAATAGGTTCTTATTCTCATTGCTCCCAAAGTCGCGTGATGTGCTTTGCCAGTGGTGAGGTGGCATATCGATACGCATTGGCGAAGTCGAACATGTTTACGGCTGGTGAACCGATGTGAAGCGCAGATGGTTTAATTGTTTAACTCGCTCTGTCGGGGCTGAGGCGAGATCAATAATGTGACATGTTCTGTGCCAATGTACCGGTGACAAGTACAGTATAGTGGTGGCTTATTTGTGGCGGCCATGACGCTGGACTGGAGATTGTCGTGGGTGTTGGGTGTTGGGTGCTTCTTGCAGCTGCTGCACTGACTGGTGGACTGCGTCAAGTGCCATGCTCAAGCGCCGGTGACGCAGTGCTTCCTCGTTGGTGTCTCTAAATCCGGTTGTTTCCACCAACTACCTAAGTTCTTGAAGGAAGGAGTGCTCCAGCGAGAAAGCGCTTGCTTTCATGAGAAGCTGGGATCGCATCATGTGTGCGCATACTCGACTTCTGGATGTTTCAATATGTCTCACCATGTTTCACTTCCCGCCGCACCCTCGGCATCTGTTTACCAACACAGCCTCCACAGTGCGCTCTGCCACAAAACGCAATGCTCGTACATCACGGCGTTGGCCCAAGCGGTGCAAGCGATCAATGGCTTGGTCCTTTCTGGCAGCCAGCACAATAGCCGAACACACGGCGGAAATGGTGAGTGATTGTGTTTATGCCTCTCAACCTGCAATGATCTTGACTTTGATGAGTAATTGAACACAAAAGTTTCAAAAGAGCCAACTTAAAGGACAACCATTGACAAAGGAAAGCGAATTACGTTTCATGGGGATATTGATGCATTGTTGATGAATTGTCCTGCTGGCCAGCCTTTCCATCAAGCAGTCGGGACAAGGCGCTAGCCGCTAGCGTGTGATAATTATTGTTATTCCCAAGAAAGTATCCTACCTCAAGGTGTCATCTCATTTAAGGGCCCTGATCCCATCCTCCACTGCCGGGTTCCACCACCTCTGTGCGGGCGCTATGGCAAGATCATGCAAGATCTTCATATTTTGTGCAACGTGTTTCTAAGACCGCCAAGCCAAAACTTCTCATAGTCATACTGGTTCGTTGAGGGAGAAGTATTTCCGAACTGTGCAAAGACCAAGGTCTATAAAAAGAATCAATCTATCCCCACCCAAGCAGCTCTTTGCGAGGTGGCTGTCAAGTGCACAAGCAAATATACTGGTGGGGAAATCTTACAGGGACTCGGTAATGATCGTGAGGAATTTTGCAGGAAGGCTTTCCGGGTGGGGCCTGCAGCAGCAAAGGTCAAAATTATCCAACAACCCCAACGCTGCCGGGGTCAGGAATCAGAAACAACTGCATGGACCTGAAAGGGTGGCCACGCATACGGTCTAACCCCAGAACACTTTGCGTATATAAGGCTTTTGATCAAAATTGCTGGGCCCTGCCATCGATGCACTTCTACAAAGTGTTCCAGCATGAGCTGAGTAATTCTGATTGGGTTCCGGGCGGGTCGATCAGTAGCACATGATCAGCAGCTGTGAGGTTCAAGCCTGCAACGCACACACAAATTGCACATTTATCATCCACGCGGTCCCTAATCCCATAAAGGACCGAGCGCTTGTATAAAGTATACAGGTTGAGGTAGGCCAAGCGGATTGATGGGAGTGGCACAAACAGCCGGCCATCCAAGTGCGTCTGCTTCCAGGCAACTGCCGCAACTGCTTTCTAGAGTCACATCACCATGGCCACATGCACACACAGGGACCAACTCAAGCTGTACCCTGGAGCTGCTGTCGGCTTAGCTATTGGTACCCTCCATCACTCTGTCCACAATCAACTCCACATCATCAAACAGGGAATCAACACGAGTAGCGACAACACCCTGAGATGCGTATGCAGGCAATTGCCGATCTGCTACAATTAGCCAATTCACTCAAGAAGGCTACTGTAATGAAATGAACATGAATCAACTTCAAAGAGCATAAAGGGGCCATGGGGTCAGAGATTTCTTTTGATTGAATATGCGGTATAGTATATATGCTCATCAGGTCATCCATCTACGCCTGTCCCGGCAGCTTTCAAGCTGCAAAGCATGACCTGCGCGCCGCTAGAACAGCTAAGATAGCACTTGGAGAGTCAAATCATGTCAAATCAAACTTGATGAAATAGTTATATACTACGCAATATATCAAAATAATAAGAAAACATATACATATATGCTGTATATATAACTTCGTTTGATTTGACAGTGCCTCCAGTCAGGGCTGTAGTGTGCACTGGCAGAGGCTGCGCTCTAAACTTCAAAGACTGAAGAGAATGCATGTCGTAGCACAAAAGAGATTAAAAGGGAGGTTACGGCCTCCTTTAATAGGGCCTTTACAATTATTTGGTTATCATTATCTCTTAATTATTATTGTCAGCCTTGTTGGCAGTATATAGCTTGATCCCGCTTCCCAAGAACATAGCCCGAAATGTTTCAGTTCGGTCCTGGATGTGGGTGTGTCCGGCGAAGCTCTGCTGTGCATTGACCCGGGCGTCATGATTCATGGACCCATCCAAGCGAACGAAGGGCAAGTGCTTCTGCTTCAGCTCCTTAGTCTGTGTTCCTTCATGCATTGGACATTGCGTACATATAATATGAATGCTACACGGTCACCCCTGCGCCACCCTCCTACGAAGTCCTTGTATGATGATGCAATTGATGATGCATGGTAATTAGGAACAACAATGGGCGACGAGTGTATATAACTATAACATTATAGTGACGGACTGAAAGTTAGAATGGGTCGGCGAATTCCACAAAAAAACATGTCCAGTTAGAATGTTCAGCGCGCCAGGAGAAAAAACAAACAGTAAGAATGCGGGGTGCCCCCTTTAAATGTTCAGTCCGTCACTGTCGGATTATATGTATGTGTGTCATACACATATAATTTTAGATTGGAGTGCCCCAGCAGTTGAGCAGGTTTGGTCTGAGATTGGGAAATGCCGCGCACACCCTCCATTCTAGCTCACTTCCTAAGTGAAAGGAGAAGCAAAAGGAGTAATTATAGTGAATGCGAGAGTATATCAAGGGAATGGGACGGGGAGAGAGCCCCAGCCAAAGGAGGAAAGTGCAGCCTGCCGGACCCAAGGAGAGCAACTCTCTCGACAGGTCGCCCATGTTGATGAAATTGATGAAGTTGACAGTGCTGGATACTTGCTATTGTTCACCGGTGGTGCAGATAGAATGCACTCGATCATCAAAGGCTTTCTACACACAGGTTTGTAGAGGAGAACATATTTGTTTACTCCCATATGGATTCTTGTATGCTCTCAATTCTCAGCCCTTGACATGTTGACATTTTTCACTTCTTGCACTATGCTTCATCTGAGCGCATGACAACATCATCAAAACCACACCACACCACAACCCCGGAAGCATTCTAACTAACTATTGAACCAATTTTAAC